AACGATTCGGGCACGCATAAGTGCAAATATTAATTTTTTTAAATTGAAGAAAAGTATTATAATCGTTGATAAACATTTGGTTTCCCACATTTTTTAGCATCGGAAAGAAAAAGATTTAGATTATTCGTAAAAGTTTATCGTTTTTTTTATTTCAAAAAAAATTGAAAATTATTTGAAAAGCAAAGATATAAATGCTTCAATATTTCAAGAAATTTTTTTTCACACATCTCAAAGTTATAAATGTAATATGTAAGTGTGTGCGAGAGCGAACCAGAGCGAGAGCGCTGATCGTGAAATGCTTTATATTTTTAATGCCATTAATGTAGACAAAACAATGATCGAGATAAGCCGAAAGCTATAAATAAAATAAAATTCATATCGGCTTGGTTATCATTCCGAAATGAAACTGCGAAATGAGTAGTGATCAAGACATCTCTAGTCAAGAAGCTTCAACTAGACCTTTTGTCTAATGCAAATTTAAATAAGTTATTTTGCGATTTTTTTTATGTGTATTTTCTTTTTTTAACATAACATTTATAACAAAAATAAGATAGATAAGAATAAAACAATTTAAACATATTTATTCTGAATTTTCCGAACCAAAGTAAGCACAGTAAGACACTTTTGATTAAAATACGTGTTCTTTAAACAAATCTAATGCATCATATTTAATTTTCTTCGAATAAATTCTCACGTTGTAAGAAATTACTTATAATAAAGATAAAAGTTCGAATTTATTATAAAATAATGAAACTACATATATATTTATATATAAAGGCTAGTTACAATCTAAATGTAAAACTGACAATATTATGGTATTTTCTCAGTCCTTTAAAGTCACTCACATGCTGGTAGTAGCGAGTTGGTTAAAGGGTTATAGGCCGGAAGTGTCAAGCCGAGGATTCGCGGAGAAACGGTTTTCACGTTACGTCACGTTCTCGGAAATTTGCCGTCCAGAAAATCGCAAGGGCGAGAAACCGCCATGCTCCGCGTACGCTTTGATGTCCTGGCGAATAACGTAAGCTCGTGACACAAAGGCGAAAGCCCCGAGAGAAGAAGGTCTTGGGCTTCACAGAGGAAACACTTCGCGAAGAGGCGTTTTCACGCAGGAAATCGTCCGAAGATGAGAGAGAAACAGTCATTCTGCGACATATATGGGACCAGATATGAATTTTAAGTGGTGCAGAGGTTACCCGGTGAATATTTCATCAGAATATTGTGCAAGCATATCGCTGTCAACTGGAAACATTAATTCAGATTACTCACGATCGAATCCCGATTTTAACCAGTATTATTAATGATTCATATTAGCGAATAATTACTATTAGTATGCTAAATTTGAGGTGTTAATCCCTTCATTTGTAATATGCACTGAAATATGTATCATTATCACTATGATCAATTTCACGGATTCCGTATTTACTTAGTTTGTGAAAAATAAAGGGAAAGATGGATTTGCTGAAGCAAATTTAAAAATTTAGCTAAATATCACAAATCTGAAAATACAATAATTTTATTGAACTAATAAAATAATTACATAGAAGACACTAAAGCTTACTAAAATATCCAAACTTTTGCAGCATTGCTCATTATTGTTTGAGAGCTTCCCACATAATTATTATAGTTTAACAAAATTATTTTCAGATCCGTATATACCTATTTTTCAATACTTTAGCAAACTTGTTCTATCTCCGCGCACAGACTTTTCTCTCTTTAAGTACATCTCTTGAAATATGCAGCACAGAATCAATGATACAAAATATGATGGCATTAACAAAATGGGACAAGAAAATATTCATGAGCGGATACAAGACGCGTGAAAGCGCAGCGCCGGAGGTAAAAGACGCTCGGAGTTTCCTCGCGAAACACGGAGGAGGAACTTCCGGTAATGAGATGGGGAAAAGAGCGGATCCCGTAACGAGGAAATAAATGCTAATGGTCAGCTTGTTCGTCGGCATGCCGGGAGCGTGTCGCGCTCTAACGATACCTGGAGGCTTGTACGCTGATAAGACCCGTTGCCCCTGCAGGTTTACGCGCGGAATAAAGATAAGCCAATGCGTCATAAGATTTGCCAATGCGGGTCATAAGTCGGAGCACGCCGCATTTTGAAACAATCGCGATCGTTAAGTCCATTGTGCAATGTACCGTGTACACAGTGATACGGTAAAAACCGTATGAAACCGTCTGGAACGAGACGGATCTCAGAAGCATTATTATTAGGAGCTTCTGAATGCTAAAAATGCTGAGCCAGTCGCTCATCCGACGGCGCATTTCGGTTTACAGTCACTTTTTGTATCCCTGTACTATATTCTCTTTCGGATCATGCTTTCGAATCAGCGTCCGTGACGCATGAGAGAAGTTGATTCGTTCGAATAAAACGCAGTATAAAGAACTGAACGATCGAACCCTTTTATGATCGCGCGCACGATTGAAAGCGACGCGCGACGGCAATCGATGCGTGGTTAATAACAAATCCTGCCGTAACATTCGACTCGAAATAAAAGCGGTCCATTCTATTTCCCTTTCAATTTGTTGTTGTTCAAACATGCATAAACATTACGCCAGAGCGGACGAAGGATCCATGGCAATATTTACACGTGTTGGTAAAGTATTTCATTGTAACAAATACAGAAAATACTATCAAAAAATAGAGAGAGAGAGAGAGAGAGAGAAAAAAGAGGGAAGGAAGGGAAAGGAACAAAAGGGAAAAACGAAACAGAGAGGGAAGTAAGAAAAAAATTCGCATTGGCGCATCTATTTCGAAGTATCGAAGAAGCAGATAGAAAAGAAAGAGAGAAATTCACACATCATCAGAAAACCTTTTCATTCTAATATTATTAACGTGAATTCCATGCAGTTTGTTTGACGTGTACGTCATATTTCCGTAAAAATATTTCCGTCCGTTCCAAGCCTGTTTCAACCACCTTGCGACTGACAATATACTAACACATTCGTCACTGTCGACCACGAGACGTCTCTTATTTCACGCCGGTAAGGACAGCCAGAAACGACGGTAAATAGGTAGACAGGCAATCGAATAGGGGATCTCGATTTTTCTCCCAGAAGCAGCTAGTAGTTATAGTCATCTCATGGTGCATCATTATCGTGTCACGAGTTTTTTATCACTGGGCCTAGTTTAATTCTTAAAAAGCCTTCTAACAAAGAAACTTAAAAAGATTTTATTTTTTAAAGGGTTTTGGGATTGTGCGCTGAATTCAATTCTGGCCGCAAAACACTAAGATTGAAATTTCAAAAAAATAATCTGATTATCATAAAACCTCTCTCTCTCTCAATTTTAGAATTTGTTGGCGTCGTTGAGTTTACTCTGAAAATGTCGAATTTCAAAAGGATAGTAACCTTCAATGAAGGAGAATGAGGTGTCACAGAGCTCATAATCAGAGTTTAAAAAACAATCATCTAGCACTGAGCTACGAGCTAAATAAACCGAGACCGAAAACTTAATGTTATTATATTCGCAATGAAAATTCCTTAAACTCGAGATTTATGGTAATCAGATTTTTTAAAATTCTGTTCATCATATTGGATCCAACAGGCTGAATTGTTTACCTCAAATTTGAATAAAGCATTATCAAATTAACCCACAGACCAAATTTCATGAAAATTGAGCAAGCAGTTTACAAAATAAAAGACGATATCCAAAACGGGGTCATCCACAAAGAGATTAATCAACCGCAGTACAGTTCTTGCGCAATGTTTGCCGATTTTTTTGTAAGAGTAGTCTTTACTTTCTTCACGGATGTTCCACGAAATATTAATAGACGTTCAGACTTATTCGAAATTGTCATGCGAAATTCACGGTAGATATAAAAGCTAATGAGTCCACTTGCAGTATAACTGAAACTGCATCCGCAATGTGCATTCGTGCGGTTAAAAATGCCTAAGAACGAGCCTCAAACGTGACACTCTACCGCCGTTTTATTTTCACTCAACGACCATCTTTAGATCTTAGAGATCTATATTTCCAGGCCGAAGCAAAATGGGAGCAGATCTTTGCTAGCTGTTTGCACACGGTTGTTTCCATAAAAGTTTAATTAATTAAGCCGTCGCGTCGTATTTGATTAACGCCGTGGGATCTTCCGCGTTTCACGAAAATTGCACGAGTACACAAGTGACGATTCATCGTGTTAGCGTTGGAAGCGTGCTTAATAAAAGCATCATGACATCAATGGATTAATGCAGTGAGCTATAGTTACGATACATTGACGCATTAGATCAGCTTAATATACCAGACTGCATGAGCGATGGAAAACATTGGCATTGACTAACTGTTATTTTCAATACGTAAAACATCGACGCCAATATTTATTATCACGCTAAAATGATTGATTCACGTGTGATTATATGTCCCAACAGAATTGCCATTTATATTTAATGTAGTAAAGAGCTGCACGACCGAATCCACGTCAAATTTACTAAATTACGAAATTTATGTTGCACATACAACATGCTAGTCAGATTTTATAAAGCGATGCACATATTTCACGATAATTAATGCCGTAAATTACAAGATAATTGCAAAGTTCAAATTACGAGGATAATAGAAGAGGATAACGTGACACACGATAGAAGCACATCTAATTAACATTTGTCTATGTATTATTTTGAAATAAAGTGCAATAAAACATAATCTCCTATCTGTCCGTCTTGTCTATTAATCATGACGGCTTACGAAAGGCATTTTTCCGATGATATAATGAAATAATAAAGGAAACGAGTTAATTTTCTACGGTAATTTTTGTCAGGCAGCGAGATTATTAGGAGGAGTAAGCTGACACATATTAAACCAAATGCCGCTTAGCAGCAGCCCGTGCGATAGTCGAGATGTATCGCGACGTTAATTAAGACGGATGTGTGCCTGCGAGATATTAGGACCTCTTCCCATATCCTTCACGAACCACATCGTCCCGGGAAAGAGCCTTTCGGCGGAAGTAGAGGTAATACGCGGATAAAGTGACGATGTACATTGCTTTGTGGCTTACCATCGTCAGGGACGCGCCCGTCCCGCGTGCGTACTGGAATTCCTGGACACTCACCTGGAAACAAAAGAAAAAGGCAGAGGGTTAATAATGTCACATGATTCAAAATGTTTATCTAGAATAAGTGATAAGTGATCGAGAATATGGTGGTCATGCGGTGGTAAATTATATTGTATACTGAGAAAAATTGATGTCTAGTTAGAAATTTTTAGACACTTTAACAAAAATATTTTTTTGTGTCTACGTATTTCAATGTTTATATAAAAAGTTATTATATTAAATTTTTTCCCGACGTACGCACAACGGAAAAAGAGTCCGGTTGCATTAATTGGAATTCTAGTTGAAAATGAACAAGCTTGAAGATTCTAATTATATAAATCAGAATTCTGTTTATCTCAACTAGAATTTAATTACAATATATTCAACCAGAAAATTATGACATGTCTATTTTCAACTAATTACAATTAATGCAACTAGACTCTTTTTCCAGTGTACGTCAGAAAGAAATTTAAAAACTTTTTATTCAAACGTTAGAATATCCATACATTTATGAAAAAAATGGTTTTATTAAAGTATCTAAAAATTTAATTACATACAAGTCTGAAAATAATTTTAATACACTATCAAAATTATGAGGAATGTTTAAACGTTGATGACACAATGCGAAAAGTTTTCCAAATATTCTCGCAATTTAATATTCTAGCAATCAGTTTGAGTGTTCTTCATAATTATTTCGAAAATCCGAAAAAAAAAAAACAAATCATTTTCACGCTTGTAGCTAGCTAAATTTTTAAATAAGCAAAATCGTTTCTTTCGCGTAAAAATACAAAGATGAAAAAGTACTAGTGTGCTTTTTTTACCTCTGTATTTGATATCTAATTCGGATAAATAAAAATCTAATTCGATGAAGTGATCAATTAGATTTTATCTCTAACGATTTTGCTTACTTAAAAATTTAGCTAGCTACAAGCGTGAAAATGATTTTTTTTTTTTGCGCAAGAGCCGTTGGAGAATTTTTATTTTTCTTCTTTTCAAATTAATGTCGAACTTTCGCTCTTAACCGGCGCCGGATATTGCAATTCAGGCTCACTCCAATTTTTGCTCGCGCAAGTTAAAGGCTTCCTTTTTCCGCGATTTAATTCGCGGAGCAAAAGCGCGAGCTCGGAGCAGATATCGATGATGCACTTGGTGAGATGCACGGCGCGAGCTATCTCGATCGTGCCATCTGGCACACATGGTCTGAGTTCGCGAGATATCTCGGCTGCGCCACCTAATAGCCAGATTAACACGTCGACAAGCGAACCTATCGACCAAATCACACATATGGTGTACAGTTTGCTCCGAATCGCATCGTAGCGGACAACCTAATTTCCCGTTGCCGTGCGGAAAATTTGCCTCGCGTTACACGTGTTGTCTGCACGTTCATAATTCAATAATGTATGTATAAACTGCGTTACGTCTATATACAGCATAATACATATACGGTACATTAAAAAGAATGTCCGGTTGAAAACTGGACGAGCCAGAAGATTCTGATAATCAATAAGAATTCTGGTTATCTCAATTAGAGAGAGGGAGAGAATCCTAATAGGTTTAATCAGAAAATTCTAATTCATCCATTTTCAATCAGAATTCTAATTAATGTAAACCAGACATTTTTCATGCAGGAATAATACATGTTATACTTTTTTAAGATTTATTTTTGTGTTGCCGTTATGCTATGCGTCAATCAATTGTTATTATTAAAATCGCACGAGAATATCGTGGCACAGATGGTGCACCTCGTTCTACGGAGTGATGAAAAAAAATATCGTAAAATTCTTATAACATTTATATGATTGGAAAACATTTTGCAGAAATTGCATGACGTAACGACAGCGTAAAAATAAATATTAAACAAATTTCGAGCTCACACGTGCGTGTCAGTTATAACGCTAAAAAAATAGCGTACGGAATAGAAGTTTGTAACAGAACGAGATTTCACAGATATCATAAAGATCGTCCACGTGCACGAACGATAAATGCGATAACGAAGAAAATTCCGCGGCAATGTTGTTACTGGAAAGGGCAACTGAAGAGAACAGGACGGAAAGAAATCCCACTGGATGTGGTTCAGGCACGTGTTTACATAAATACCGAGGACGCGGTCGATAGCGTTTTACCACCTTTGTCACGCAACTTCGACGATTGGCTGACTTTTTTTTTCTCGCGAGCCTTTACGTATGCTCTTTGACACGGAATCGACAAGGCGGAACCGTGCGCACCGATATCGGTCATTCGTAACACGCTCTTGTAAATGCACACGCAATTCGTAATACGAAAGAAATCTTTAATGATACGCGTTACGTATTATATGCACAGGACGATACCAATCGATATCGCTGATCGAGACCTTCGCGTATTGATAAACAGCGTAACCGAGACTGACCGAAGCTCCATTGCGCCAATTTCGATCGACTCGGTCTTTTTCCTACGCTGTAATTGCGAAAGTTGCGAATGTACTCTTACACGAGTGTATGAGAAAAGAACTCAATCGTGCATCTCCCAACTTCTTCGCGAATTCCAAATACGCACGATATCACAAGAATTCCATTCCGCTATGCATTAAGAATGTACTGGCTAAACAGTCTCGGCATAAAATGATGTAAGTATATCAAGAATACTAGTTTTTAACTTTTTATAACAAGTATTTGAATTTTATAAAATAACTTTGGGTTTTTTTATTAAAAGTGACTGGAATTAGTATACTTTCCATGAAAATAAATAATTTTATATACATATAAAATAATTCAATAAGGTCAATATTATAATAAAAAATACTTAATATAATTTTATAGAGAGAGAGAGAGAGAGAGAGAATTAAAATAAAATTTTTCTCACTTGATTTTAATTGTTTTTGAAAACATGTTCTTATAAATAATTTTTCATCCAGATTATAAATCGCCGACAAATTTGTTGAATTACTAACTCTCAAATACAATATAAAAAAATCTAATTTTTGTCATAATTTTTTCATTTTGTTAAAAAGTATGTGCAATACATCCTTAATTGCATAAAATTAAACTATAATGCAATATTTCTGATAACACACTGTTATATTTGAAGTTTAGTGAAAGTGAGAAAGAAGTTTTAATGCAGTCCAGTATAGCAACCAAAACATGCCTATAAGTATATTTATAACAATTACAATAACTTTGAAAAGACTTTCTAAACTTCTAAAACTGAACATATTTATGTTTACATGCTTATATACCTAAATTTATCTTCTGTATTTAAGTAAATTTCATTAATTCGCCTTATAGCCAATATAAACTTAAGGAATGACTCCAACATCCTATCGGATTTCGACTAACAGCACTTTTCATCCGTACAGTCTCCACCCTTGACAGACGGACGAACTAAATACAACCCTTACAGCATGAAAGCATTCACATTCTCCAGCAAGTCCCAACGAGCAGATGGATTTAAGGGGAAAATTTGTCAGGTGTAACGTTATGATATATAGTGATAAGGCCATTTATCTCGTTCTATTAACACATGGATGATGACTGCAAGAAGGGAACGTCGATGAAATTAACGGAAGCAACGGTCGGTGTTTACGCGCATTTACGCGCAACTGAACACGTACATGGCCGAATGTATGTATGCGTGAACACCTTTGTGAGATTAAGCCCGTTTGCTTGTCCGACGTGTAAGTATACGCGTAGAGCTCACGTCGATACACATGCGTGACGCGTGTAAACGTGCAACGAAGGCTGCATCCGTACAAGTTACATGTAGGAACGTTCCGAGCGCTGTCAACGTCCTTCCAATAATAACTATACGAGTAGTTGTATTGATAGCATTAACTCAAAATACGTCGGAGATACCATTACGTAAGTTGGAGAAGTGAAAAGGTTTCGATTAATTGAGCCTTAGCGGCACGAGCGGATAACGAAATCTTATTTTTCTGTCAATTGCAAGTGGACTATTTTCCATCGAAACTTTTAATTCGTTCAATTTCAAGCGGGTTTTAATTTAACAGAATCTCAACTTCCGACTTATATACTCGGAGAGTATTTAATGAAAATTGAAGAGTTGCGAAACAAGCGAGGTTTCCTCTCTCATTTTTTTTATTTTTATGTTTTTTAAAAAGGGGAAAACCTTCAAGATGCATCCCCGATCTTCGAGGGTTATGTAGGATTTTTACATCCACTGTAAAGTCCTTCGGTATTCCTTGGCGTTTAACAGGACACCCAGAAAACGGGTAGTAGTATATCATTTGGATCTCCCTCTTTCTTTCTTTCCTCTCATTTTCTTTTATTCTCGACTTTATTCATTCACAAGAAAATTGTAAGAAACACACGCCAACCGCTGATGCGCATGCAGGAAGAGTTAACGTGTGTTTCCGTCAAGTACGTTCGTTCGCAGAAGTGTGTACATACAAACGCCTTACGATGTTAATTGATAGACAGACAAGAGACGGCTGGATCAAGCATAAAAGCGTGCTGGCACAAGGTGCACCCTTCCGCTTCACGATAGTCTTCGACTTCTCCTCACTTCCGCCTACGAGCTCGCCTGACAATGGACACGCCACTAGGAGGAATGTCGGCGCATGCCTCAGCAACAATGCACGAACAATGCCGCGTAACGACTTCGGCTTTCTCTCTCTCTCTCTCTCTCTCTCTCTCTCTCACACACACACACTTTCTGTGTTCCCTCTTTCACAAATTGGCGCCGCAAATCACTGACAAAGACGTCGACTCGATGCAAACTTGTTTCGGGAAGGAACGACTATTCCCAACTAACACCAGTTTGATAAGCGATTCACGTCACTCGTTGCGTTTTCTGCAAAAATGGGGAAATGTTCACAGAGACTCAAAGCGATGCCCTAGTTTTTATCAATGGTGTAAACGAATAATCGAGAATGTACAGATTTTTTTATCTCTTTGAAGAAAAGTTTAAAATTGAAGAAGGTTGGCGAATGTAAGAAACATAACTTTAATTAATTTTAAATATTAACAGATAATCAGATAACCATTCTGAGTATTCAATCAATAAGTTGTTTTAAGTTATTA